TGAATGCGAATCATAATTAACATTCCAATTGAAATTTAAAATATCTAATTGAATTTTTAATTTTTTTCACCGTTAAAATTGAATTTGGCGCCGAATTAAAGAGTGTTTGTTTATTTCAGAGGTGTCTTTTCCTTTGTTACTGTTTAAATTAAAAGAGTGTGTCTCTTTAATCCGAACAATGACATCCCATGGCTCTTCAGGAGATCCGTACAGGGATTAAGGATCTATAAATTATAGACGGTCTCACTGTCAATTTTAATCCATCATAACTCTGTATTATGTATTCAGTGTTTCTCTCTCTCTCTCTCTTTGTTTCTCCCTCTGTCTCTCTGTGTGTGTGTGTGTGTGTATATTGTTGCATTATCATTTCTTGTTTGGTTCAAGTATAAACACAAAGTTGTATTCATTGGAGTCTTGAAGATTGAAGTACTACAAATTTGCTACCTCTTTGTGCTTAAGATCGATAAGCAACTATTTCTGAAGATAGAATAAATAGTGATTAATTCTAATTACATACATATTTTGGATATCTATATTTTGGGTTAACACACATAATTTATGAACTATAAATCTATATTTAAGACTTTCTTCCCTCTCCAATAAATCAACTAAGGGGACATGGATCATTCAATTCATTCATTCACATTTTATAAAAATTCATAGAACATTAGGTGAGAAAGGGAAAAATCCTAGATTTTTTTTTTCCAAATATTACCGATTAAACGTATCAGTCATTTTTTATTATGCACAAAATAGTTTTGTGCAAAATCAACAGTCGAGTATGTGATAAGATATAATTAATGGACAATTAATAAAGTAATCAATGAGAGTAATGTAAATATTTAATCAACACACAGATATATAGTGGTTCGATTTGAGTGATCCATTCCACTCTAGGAAATAGTAACGGTGACCGAGGAGTCTTTATTGATGAAGTAAAGTGAATGGGGGAGAGAGCAATAGTTAGCTCCGAGAGAGATACAATAAATAGGAGAGAGAGAGAAAAAAAAGCTATGTGTGGAGTGTGTAAAGTGGTGTAATAAGATGCCCCTCTCAATTGAGAGAACTTACAATTTATAGGTATGGTGAAGCGGTGATGTAAGGGTAAAGACACTAACTTTTTGGAAAGGATGGCTACAAAAGGTAAGTACAATTAAGATAACTTTGATTTTCGAGGGTGAGTATCTTGATGATCTCTTTCCTACGTGCTTTTATTTTCCTGGGCTCCTTAGGTCTTGGACTGAGTTGGATCAACAAGTTAGATTAAACCTACGGGCTGGACCTGAGGGATATTTTCAGCTGCTCTAAATCCACTCAATTTATTAGATCTGGTTGAGTTAAATCTAGACTCATCAATTTTAAAATTGAGTTTTTTATGTTTTGTACTAACTTAACTCATTTATAATTTTTCATAGAAAATCGTGTTATTTTTTGGATTGGCGTCAAGAATTAGTCAAACATATAGTGATAATTTCATGGTGGGTATCATTTATTAAAAAATAAATCATTAAAATTTTGAGATTTTTAGTCATGCCAGCCTTCATTTAGGCATGCAAACTGCAACCACCGTGGCAAGTTGAAAAATAAAGCCAAAATAGTTGAAGAGGCGTGGGTTCATGTACCTTAAATTTGTGATAGAATTTGTGGTCCATGGGGTGAATGTAGACATATAGTAACTTCAAAATAGACAAAAATTGATTGATTCCGATTTCCGACTTAGATGTGGCCACAAAGGTCAAATTTAGAGTGCAAAGATTTGATGCTGATCCTTTAAGTGACTAATGCTAGGTGACATAAAGAGTCTCTTTTTCAATGTATTTTAATGTTACTAATATCGAAAACATAAATTATTTTTTTTTGTCCAAGTATCTGGATTTTTTTGGGTTAAAATATAAAAAACGTATATTTCTAGATGGTGTAAAATCAATAACCATAGTTGAGACAGTAATGTAAAAAAAAAAATCAATATTTTTGGATAAATAGATGGAAATTTGAGGGGGTAAAAATATAATTTGTCCCTATGACCGGAAGAACTATAAACTTTGATTGTGATTGAGTAGGGTATTGTTAGTCAAACTTTGAATTGATTTTTTTGACGCATATGCAAAGGTTTCCAAGCACTATGGGGGCCACTTTTGAACTATATATCATTATATACCTCTCCACCTTTGTACCATGTAAGGTATTGTTAATCAAACTTTGAATTGATTTTTTGAGGCATATCTAAAGGTTTTCAAGCACCAAGGGGACCACTTCTGAACCATATATCATTGTATACGTCTCCGCTTTTTCATGGCACGAAAAGGAAAACAATTTGTATTCTATTAGCTATTAATGGATGTACTTTTTGCTACAGAAACGTAGTGTTTTTTTTTTTTTTTTTGAACCGGTTCGTTCTGACTTTTAATAATTCAAATATTTCCGGTTTAATTCTTTTTTACATTAGTCACCATTATTTTTTTAGGAATAAGTTCTAACTCAGTTTAAACCACGGTGTTGAATTATCCTATTGAGTCAGGTCACGAAGAATTTATCCCTCATGAATACCCTATTTCTAGCGTTGATGGTCTGCCTTTGACTAAATTGAATAGGGTATTAGTCGACATGCACGGAAATTAACCCGAACACTTTAACCGTTAAACCCAAAAAAAAAAAAAAATAGAACAATAGATAAAATATTATGTCTGTTAAAAGAGAAAAATATGAAGTATGAAAAGTGAATAAATTAGTCTTCGTGAAAGAAAAATTAATTATGCGTGTTTGATTTTTTTTAACTGAATTATTTACCTTTTTATCCTTTAATATATACATATATCTTATTTATTTATTATATATTATTAACACATTAATTTTTAATGTATATTAAAAAATCAATCGTTCTTTGCTTTTCTTCTCTCCTGCCAAACAAAAAAAATACAGAAATAATTTCTCCTTTAAAGAATAGAAATGTATCACTATTCCTTTCTATTTTTCTATTTTTTTTCATATACCCTGCCAAACACACCATAAATCCAACAAAGTACACTCAAAGGACTTCAGTCCTATCCCAGTAGGTCAGTCTCCTGACTAGTACCTGAAAGGTTGAAGCTTCGATTTCTCCTTCTCTGCATTCTCTCTCTTTTGTAATAGTGATTGCCCCAAAAAGAGTGCACTCAAGGCCTTGCTGGACCGGGTGACCTATACGGTCCAGAGGCCTATCTGGAATATGTAAAGGATTGGTATAAGTTTTTGGCCCGTGGACAAGATTTGGGCAAAATAAATTGGTCGAAAAAACTATTCCGGGCCAATGCTCGTTGCCAAATGCTCCAACAGGTTGGGACTAACCTGGCTCATCTTGGAACGATACCTTTTCATAGAATATAAGAATTTTACCAAAAATGGTGTTTTTTTTTTCCTTTTTGAAGTATAAATATTGATAAACAGATAGAAATAGTTACAATAAATAAATAATAATAATAACAATAAAAGCTAAGAGCGTAGTTTGGACCAAATAGTCTGGCATGGGTGTTGGGCCAATCTGGTCCAAGCTCAACGAAGGTTAGTTTTTTGTGAAAATTAGGACTGAATCTTCCTAAATAGATTTATAATGACTTGAATCTATCAAAGAAATTTATTTGGAGGTAAATTCGTTTTTAATTTTATTAGTAAGGAATTAAGTCCATTTTTTTTAATTTCAAAAATACCCTTAACAGTGTCAGTTTGGTCGGTTATGAAAAATTAAAAACATTATTTACAAGGAGCTATATATGAATGTTAATAATTGAATATAGGAATACTTGATTTACGATAGTAATTGTCGACTACAAGCTTTCCATAATACTTCAAATTTAATTTCTTAATCATTATTTTCTCTATTAGTTCAATAACATCAATTTCAAAATATAATTTACTAACACATATCACTATTTTTTTTCATGTTACTATTTTTTATTAAACATGTTATTACTTTTGGAGTGTTATTTTTTTTTATGCTGAAAAATTGAAAATTTCTTTCTTTGGTTATGGGTTTGCATGCTACTATTTTTATTTTTTTTCTTTTGTTCAATTTTTTATTGAACATGTTACTATTTTTATTAAACATGTTGCTATTTTTGTTGAATATATATTATTATTGTTATTTTTTAAAATATTAATATTGATTTTTACTATTTTTTTATGTTTAACTATTATTATCATTTTGTGTTTAAATGATACTATTTTTTCTTTTTAATGTTACTATATATATAATCCTCACCTATAAATGAAAAAAAAATATATATATATATATATCTTAAAAAAATTTAATGTTAGTCAAACTCTTAAAATTTATAATTTTTTTTTTTAATTTTACTTCACTTTTAAAGAAAATAGATAGTCTGATAAAATTGACAAAAAAAAAAATTTCATAACAAATAAATTTTCTTGACAAACTTAAATCCAAATAAATCTATATATGGGGTCCGACCTTCAAATTTTCTTACTTTTTATGCTCTACGACTCCTTACACCATCCTCATATGAACCTGACTTGAAACTGAATTACTTTTTATGCCCGAAGCACTTAGTACAAGCCATGACACCAAAAAGACGACTTCTATCAAATGAGCAAAATAAACCTAACTTGAGTGGTTATTATATGACAAGGTGATTACTAAAATGTATAGGATTCACCTGCTTATTTGTTGTATTTTTATTGGATAATAACACTATGTAATAATAATGATATGATATTTCCATTACACCCGGTATCTTTTCTTACAGTAGGCCACCTATAGAAAACTTGGGTACAGTAGAATTATCCGAGGGGAAATCGTCCTCGTTGCACAAGATGATAATGGTACAAACAGAGAAGCTTGGGCTTAGCCTTGCACTTAGAGCCCCAAAGTCTTGGTGGTCATGCCAATTTTGAGAACCACGCATGAAGCATTGAACAAAGCTTGGCAACTTGGAGGTGCAGTGTTGCATCGAAAAAATGACACCCATGCACAATAATCCCGTCACAAGGAAGGTCTAAGGGTAGGATCAATCAAACACAAGTGTTGATTTGAGAGGGTAGGAAGCAAACCACCTACTAACCATGGCAAGACATTGCCTGGGCTTGTACTCTGGAGCTGTGTGACCCGCTCCCTATACAAACCCAAAAATATTTACTTCGACTTTTACATGAAGACAGCAACTGGGAGAAGAATAAAGAGGGAGATTGCTCACCTTTACAGTTGCATATGTCAACTCATAGTCATTGTGTGCATACTTCGTCGTATATCTGTACTCATTGACCATAACATAAACTTCATTATTTCAATGGAAAACTCTTATAAATTGCAAATATACAACAGATTATCATAAAATATTCAAAATCTGTCTCTTTCATTCACTTCTAGGTGGCTAAACTCTTAAATTTGAGAGTAATGACATGTACAAGAGGGCCTTGTTTGATAAATAACATACTAAACAGGTCAAAAATTTTGATGTCAGAACTATATTTTTTCTCAAATGAACTCCTAATCTTTAAAAATATATTTTTTACTTACTTCAATTATTACGTCTAACTCCTGTTTTAGAAAAATCAAAACTGTATATGTTGCATATCCTTGGCATATTCTACACATCCGTGTATCCCAAACCTATCTAAAATATAATTATTTTTAAAATATCCGTGGCCTAACTAACCAATATCCGATATGTATTCGACCGTATTTGGGATATAATATATTGGATACAAATATTCCATCACTGATGAAGTATCTGTGTTTTATAGCTAAAGGTTATGTTGTGCACATGTTAAGAATTTAGGAACCGACCCTGCTACTTGCCCTTCAACAAACCATGGTTTCCAACCGCTTTCAACTGGGAAATTTAGAGACCTTATCCATTCTTCTGTGCCCACATGTGGAACAACCATGTCATGATCACCACTGTTGCAAGACAAAATATTTTGTTAAACAGTAAAATATCAGAAATTCGCTCATAGAACTGTACTATTCATAAGTTTAGACCTCATGTCAGTTCAAGTGTCACATGCTGATGATTCGCCTTTATAATCCTGATCCAACCCGACTGTAAAAATGAGTTCACTCTGCCATTGTATCTAAGAATTTTTATTGGTCGCAAGTTTTTTGGCAATAATGGCCCCCAGAGGATGGGGGGTTTGAGCATTCTGATTACATGAGCTCATTCCCCAAACGCCTTGAAAAACTTAAAAGGGTGCCTCTCAGTCTCAGGGCAAAATCCTATTGTTCAGACTGTTTAAAGATTTCGGTAATTGTTATCCGAAAACTGGTATAAAAACTTCAGTCATACATACTTTATCAGCTTTGCAGCTCTTATAGCAGGTGCTTGTTGGTTCGGTATCTAATCACCCTATCTTCCATTTCCATAGGCATAAGATTCTCTATGAATATGCATGTAACCATTGTACGGATCTGGGACTGATAACCAAATATTGTTCAGGCTTCAGGGAAAAACATAACAGGAAGAGCAGAAGATGATTTAAGATATTACCTGTATATTAGAGCTCGGCAGCGTTTTTCAGAGAGATTCCGGTGATACTCAACGGTACTTTGGACATTAAATGTGTAGGATGCGCTACTTTTTGCACCAACAACATAATGGATGCTATTGTTGCATCTCTGCCACTCCTCTATCATTCCCCAGTGATCATCATAGGATCAGTTGATGAATACCATTTTGGAAATGGGTACTTTATGATCTTCATCTTAAAATACCTCGCGAACGTGTAGAGCATTTTGAACGGATCTATCATTAGCCCAGGTGTAGGAGTACACATAGTTATCCTCCTGCCAAAAAAAGAAAAAGAAAATAGGCAGATAAATTGTGTAGTTGCATAAATGGGAAATTGCATTTTACACCCTTAAGTCTGTCTCGGCAACAGGCGAACCCAACTCACCTCAATGGGTCCAAGGCAAGAAGATTTGTTTGAAACAAAACTTAAGCACAAAAAACGAACGCCTCAAGCTTAATCTCAAGGCGAAGAGGCGAGTGCTTTTCTATTTACTTTGTTGTTGATCCATTATGGGCCCTTTAGATCTACCACATTGAACAAATATTCTGATGTGCACTAATACACTAGATTTACTAAATGTTTAATCTTGAGCTTAATCTCAAGGTGGAAGCATTAACTAAATGTTTAGCTGTTTAACAGTTTGACTTGTGTGTTTTGAAATGTTAGGATTTGACATATTATTTGTGTTTATTTTAATTTAAAAGTTTATGCTTTTGGTTGCCATTAAAATTTGAGATATTATTGATATTTGTTTGAATTTAAATGCTTATGTTTTTTGTTGCATTTTAATATTTAGTAATTGAGAAGTTGAGACTAGAATATTAATAAATTATTTGCATGATTTTTATACTATTCGCCTCACTTCAATGAAACTTTTGCTACCTCTTGCCTCTCGTCTAGGCTTGGAGAACCTGAGCGTCTCGGTTATGCCTTAAAACAGCTTGTTACCAAACATATACCTACACCTGCTGCCAAACAAATTTTAACAAAACTCACTCTCTCTCTTATAGAGCCAAGGACCAAACTTTGAGGACTTAGTTTTTTTTAGAAGAAAACACTGAGGACTAAATTTTAAAACGATGCATCACTCTTTTTAAAACAATAATGCATGGATGTACATAAAGGGGCAAGGGGATTACCCGACACCATGATCAAGAGAGAAGTTCTATAGGATTTTCTTCGATAGGGCTTGCATCCCATGCTGTTAAACTTGTTTTGGAGTCCAATGATCCACACCAGGGTTCTAATATGTGTGCACCACGTATTTTTTCCATGCACTGCAAATCGATTGATCAAGAACATTGTTAAAGCATAAAATCCTAGGGATAACAAGGTTTGTTATAAACACCATACAAATCCTGCTCACCTCCTGTACCAGTTGAAGATCATTTACACATAATGCATTATTTGGATCTACATCCGTGTACTCTCTGTGACAATTTGATTTGGTTGACTGTGAAAACAACAAAGGATTACAGATTTTTGAGTCATAATATGACATTTGCCAAGGAAATGTGAACTAGAGCCAATCATATTCAGTGTTAAGAGTGAATGATCTGTAACACTGTCACACGACAAGTGAAGAAAAGTGTTGATTTTGTAGGACACCAAGGATTCACCCACACAGTTACACTAGAACAAAGAAATTTAAGCAAATTGATCTACCAGCCATGGTTTTTAGAAACTTAATCATTCCTCATCGAGGAAGCTAGTTGACAATGAGAAAGCTTGAAACTTAGCACTATTGTAATTGTGCAGGAGAAAACTTGAAACTTAGCAATATTGTAACAGTGCAGGAGAAAACTTGAAACTTACCTCATAGAGTTCATCTGAAATAAGGGCCACTCGATGGGCAAACTTGACTCTTGAATTAACATCACTGCTTTTATCTGTTAGAGGGTTTCCCTCCAAGTATCCCTGCATCCAATTCAAACACATTTAATTCAAACAATACTTTACAATCCTACAATTTTAATTTTCAATCAGTTAAAATAAACGAAGAATAACCCTGCCAATTCTGGTTCTTGAATTTGATGTTGTACCTCTATATTCATTGATGGCTTGTTTCCGTTGTCGTTACCTACCAACAAAAAAAACATATGCATATCAAAGGAGAATGTGAGCTAATGACCCAAACTTTGCTCCATAAAAAAGTTGGCTGTTCAAAAAAGCGTGCCCTATATGGTTTACATCTCAGAAACTGTTTTTCTGTCTTCGGAAACTGTTTTTGAGAGAAAAATTGTTTGACCAGCTGTTTTATGTTTTTGGTTTTTGAAAACCGAGAACAAAAAATGGATAAATTTAGATAACAAGTTAGTGTGTTTTTGGAAATATCTTTTCTAGAATTTACAAAACACCACCACCACCACACTTCCATCACCATCACATTTCTATTTTCATTGTTTTCTGGTTTACTGTTCAAACAAATTTTTCTGATTTCTGTTCCGTAAAATTGTTTTTGGAGTCATATAACCAAATAAGTTCTGCAATACAAACACCACCAACAAACACTTTTCTAAAACTCTTCCCACAAACAGTTTTCAAATATTGTTTTTTGAGACGCAAACCAAAAAAGGGTGTTCTATTTGGCTTGCAAGAAAAAATAAGCAATGAAACAAAAAATAGAAATTCTAATTTCTTATGATGAAAGTATTGCCACAAGATTAGAAGTTGTTACTCATTTGTAACAAAATATGAAGCATAAATTACATGTCTACCAAGGGGTATGCAGAACGAGAAGTACCGTTATATATTTCCTGCACAATGATTGGAACAACTATGCCGGTGTAGGAATCACCAGCAATGTATAGTGGATTGTCAAGAAACTTAGGGTGATCCATAAGCCACTGCATTACATTGCAAAAAAAATCCACAATCTGAGCATAAAACTAACGGAATTTTGGCATGTATAAGCGAGAGAAACGTTATAATGAAAACAAGCACAGCTGAATCGGTCTTTTCGGCTCATAGTTGGGCATGGGCTGAAAATTGGTGGGACCAAAATTTCTAAGCCTCTAGGCCAACCATAACAATCGCCAGTCAGTTCCACAATTAACCCCAACCAACAGTGACCAGCTAGGAAGCACGGATACTTCTCACAGGTGCCGTGACAGTATCGGACATGTGTCTGACACAAACACGGCCAGGACGGCAGGACACTTGTCCAACACGACTTAAAGTGTCATGAATAGAGAACTCAGTCGGACACGACAAGGATACGTCTAAGACACAGCAAGAAGACGTCTAAGACACAGCTAGGATACGTTTAGCATACGGCCAATAATTTTTTTTATTAAAAAAACAACTTTTATCTATTAAAACTTTACTTTTCTTAATATATTTTTTGTTACGTAACTTATATACTATGAATGTTAATAGATGCAATGATGTTTGATGAAAATAGTGGATATTTAATTTGATTTATTTTAATTTTAATCAAAAAAATAATATTTGCTAGGTCTTATTATTAATATTGTTATAATATATGTTTTATTTTTAATATATTACAACTCTATTATTATTTAAAAAATATATTATATTATTTTAATAGTTGTATCCTTGCCGCAAGAGTGTCCCATATTTTTTAACTTGGTCGTATTCTCGTGTCCGTATCGTGCATCCTAAGTGACCAGGCCTCTGGGCCAACCGGTCCAACTCATGCTAAGGAATTTCTCCTTATTCGGCAAATATTTTCTCACTTTTCTAAGAAAGTGGTAAGTTTGAGTTGGTGACAGTGTATCGTTAACAATGTAAGCTCCAAAGTTTTTGCATAGGAGTATCCAGTTCCAGCAGGTTGATCCAAAAAAATTATGTTAACAACCTACAAAAGTACAACCATCACCTTAGTTGACAACATAATAGACCATTTGCACATCAATTGTTTCCATTTTTTCATTACAACTAAAGCATAAGAACATAGAAATCTAACACCTTTGTCCATGAATATGGATTCAACTCCAATGTTGGTTGGCTCCCGCTGGAATTTGCATAGTTAAAAGTAAAGAGGCCTAAATAAAGAATATGAATATTATTGTCTTTCAAACAACTAAGGGTATGCATCAAGAAAAATACCAACATATGCAGATTTGCATGGTGTCAAGAAGTCCAACATAAGGAAAACACTACATGGACCAAATCAATGGTGATCGTTGGATTACTCGAGTCCCAATACCGAATGGGTCCATGACGAATTAGACAAATATATCAACAAATTAGACACTATTAGCAATTAAATGGACTAAGTCCAGTCGACCACCCTTGTTTAGCTAAAGATCCTTTCAATCAAGAGATCAACGGTTGCATGCATACCTACTGTATTGTGGCCTGCTCACATATAAGAGCGTAACAACTTGATTATGGACCTATTCTCTAATTACTTATGCATTTAGAATAATTGATAGTCTAAAATGTCAGACAACCCACAAGGAATACTCAAAATGCCCCTGAAGGAACCACCTAATCTCATCCAATAGTCAATTTAACAACACTATGCACCAAAGACGATGGCAAATACCAGAAATGCCCACTACACAGATATGGTTGAATGAAGTAAAGCATAGATAATATTTAATTTAGCTTTAACAAATTTTGGTGTTGTTCACAGAATTAGGATTTCAAAAAGGTCTTGCTGAGCGTTTCAATGCCTTGGATAAAGAGACAAACATAAGCCTATCAATGGATCAGATATTATCCAATCGTGATTTAGCATCTGATCCAATTTTCTTTTGCAACCTGTCAATATCAACCTTTGTCGCATTATATGAAAAAGATTGAGATTTGGGACACTATCAAATTTGGTAAAACTTAGTATTGAAACTTATTACATCTTTCAGAAATAGATTCCACCGTTGGAACCTAATAAATTTTGAGGTTTGATCAAAATTAACATAATTTAAAATTGAAATGACCCAGGTTCGTATGTCATCGTTACACCAATGATCAAGTGTGTACATGGCTTTCTAAGATTTGAAACTCATCATTTGTAATTGAAAAAAAAAATATGCACATCGATATGAAAATGAACTGATTTGTAAACCTTCACATGATTAAAGGCCTAATTTTAGGGTCCGACTACGGTATAGGTTATATGCTGATATTGCTACCCTCTTTTTTTGTTCAGTAAAAAATGGCATGTGTGATCTTATTTGTTATTTTACTTACCTTTCTGCTTTCATACTCTGACTATAAATAAAAGAAACCAACGTTTATGACTGAAAATTGTTTTCAATATAGTACGAATTTTAAGAATTAATTATTTTTTCAAATTATGCTAACTTCTTTTTTTAATTGATAGTATGACTTTTGATCACAAATATTTTGATAGGAATATAATCTGTCGCCTCATTTATATTTTTATGTTCTTCATCAAAATCATGATATTACGTGATTGACTACTATTACAAATACATTCACTACTATATTTTTATTGAATTATTCTATTATCTTCAAAATCTTTAGAATCATTTACTTGTTTATATTTGAAACTTTTGCCTAAATTTTTTCATATTTTATTTGCTACGATTAACAACTTTATCAAAAAACTTATTTTTGAAATTAAATTAGATTTTATTTTGGATCCTTTATAAGAATAAATAGTTTAGTTGGTATTTTAAACTTAAATCACAACAAAATCGAGTGTGAAAAAAAGTAGAGAATGTGTTGAGTTGAGTTTTGTTTTTTGTACTTGTGAAGAGAAAGAGAGATAGATGCTTATTTTATTTTTCTTTTATCAGAGAAAGTTAAAAAAAGATTGAAAATATCAAGACTATCTTGTTAACTCTTTTTGTCCTTTAATAAATGTGACTGTGTGAGGTGGATTAGACTTTTGAGCCTAAATTTTAAAAATATTACACTTTGAGGAGTTTTTTTGTTTGACTAAATTGTATTAATTTTTAATAGTGAAAATTGGGATAGAGTCCCTTTTAATGGACTTATAATAAGTTTAGTCTGTCAAAAAAATTTATTTGGGAATAAATCGATTTTTAAGCTGACTAATAAATTGTTAAGTCTACTATTTTTTTAAAGCTCCCAAAATACCCTTCTTATGACATTGAAAGCAATTTAAGTCACTTTCTTAAACAATTACTACTAGATTCATGCTCAATGAAGATCTGCATTAAGATTTTTTCCTATAAATTTGAATTTCAAATTTAAGAGTAATTATTATTCATCTTCTTCTTAATCACCCCCTCCCTCTCTCTCTCTCTCTCTCTCTCTCCCCATGAACAGTAAAGCATGACGACAAACAATTATTTTTCTTCCCGCAAAGCACATGTGGGCTCTTGAATTTGTCTCCCCGTGAACATTAAAGCAAGTATGTGACAAGAACTTATTATTCTATTTCAAGATTGGCGCTTGTCAGATTCAAGAGGCCCATATATTAGTGGAAGCAAGACAACAAACAAATATGTCAATTATCTACTTTCAATTCAACTGGTTCATGATTTTGTTATTTGGGTATGTGCTTATGCATTGATTTTTTCATTTGGGTATATTTATGCTACTTTTTTTTGTTTTTTGTTTTTTTGAAATGTTAATATTTTTTATTTTGAATGTTACTATTTTCCGAAATATTAGTATCTTGTTTTTTGTTTTTGAATTTTATTATTTTTTGTTTGAATGCATGTTGTCCATGTTGTTAGATTGCCAATTTTGGTTCAATATTCCATGTTCCTATTTTTTTTATTGAGCATGTTACTGTTAATATTGCATGCTATTATTTTGCGAAACTTTAATATTACATATTACTATTTTTTTTTAAATATTAATATTCAATATCACTATTTTTTATTTTGAATGTTACTATTTTTTATTTTGAATGTTACTAATTTATCTCATATATGTGTGTGTGTGTGTGTGAGAGAGAGAGAGATTAATTAAATAGTCCTAATTTATATATGTACTAGTCATTACCCGTGCCTGAAAGCATTATGTTACTTATAAAATTTCAACACACAACGATAGGATATTTGAATAATTTTCGATGCATAGCGATTAGATTGGTTTTAAACATTTTTTGTTGGTGCAATTAGTATATTATTTTTTTTGTATTGATCACCTATTTTTTTTTAATTGTTGATTTGCTTGGGTTTTGGATTTTGGATTTTTTTTTTTGAGAACTATAGGTTTTTATACAGTAGTGATCTATTTTTTGTATGAATAATAAATTGATGATTTTATTTATTGATTATAAAGACAATTTAAATTTCATTAATTGATAAGAAGTAAAAAGTAAACATCAACCACTGTTACTAAGATGAGTGATAAGAAGATCTACTTACGGTGTATTTTAGGTGTGAATCAGTTTATAATAAGAAGGATGAAAAATTATATAATAAGTATATAATGATTTTTAATGAAATATTATATCAAAGGTATTGAAAAAATTGATAAACCAAATAACTTTCATGTCAAAAAATGGTGACATTGTCCATTTAGGTACTAATTTTTGTGTTGTAGTGATAGTGTGTATAAGGTTATTGGGGTCAAACGTAAATTAGCAAACCTTGAAAAAAGAAGCGCTAAACTTAGAGATATTATGTATTTTATGTGTGTTTAATAAAAATATTTTTAATTTTATGCAAAATTTTATCGTAAAATTAGAAATTAAACAAAATTAACCTAAATCAAGGTACAAACAACACATTTTTAATATATAACATTTAACAATAATCAGTTAATAACAATATATCAACAACTAAATCACACGAACATTAAAAATTAAAAACAACAAACTATTGTCAAAGCATATACTACTAAACTAATACTAAAAAATCATCAATATTCATAAACACACATAAATGTTAAACATTTTCTAATCGCACAGTTATAAAAATTAAAC